CCAAGCAGAGTCACAAGAGCTAAGGTCCCTCAGTGGACTGCTGTCTATCTCTGATATCCTCTGGGGATAGCCAGAAGAGGAATGGCCTGGGTGTGGGGTGCTGGTGAGGGTGACCCTTTCCTGGTCCTTGCTTCCTTTGCTCTCCCACGGACCTTGCCCCTTGGTTCTCGGCAGTGGAGAGGATGAGATCGCAGAGGACAACCCTGAGTCTCAAGAGATGCTGGAGGAACAACTGGTGAGGCTGTTAACCCGAGAAGTCATGGACCTCATCAGTAAGTGGCGTGTGGGGACCAGGGAAACTACTCAGCAGCCCCACACAGGCTAGGCTGGTGGCAGAGGTTCGGACTGACAAGCAGAAGCTAATAATAGTCCTTAAGTCAATCAGACAGGTTCTGAGTTGTGAACTACATTTTACCAAATAAGAAGACAGGGATCCAAAACAGGAACTTGAATTAATGTTGGCAATAACTTTCTTACTTGATCAAGATAGGAAAAGTTCAGTTCCTAGACGTGAACATCAATTTTCTATTTTCAGAAATGTTGAAAAATTCAGTATTGGTTTTTTATTCCCAAAGTAGTTAAGGATATGTCAGTCACCTTCCCTGGTCCTTTATTCTCAGCGGAGTCTGTAATGTCCCCCTAACTGGCTGACTGGAAGAGCGACCCACAGTCTGGTTGGGGTCCTCAGAATACCTCCTTCTAATGGCGAAGCTGATTTAGTCCTTGGACAGTACCTCCCCACCAGCTTTCATCTGGCCGGAAGTAGCCTGGAATAATCAGTTGGCGAGGTGGCTGTTGTGCCGGGGGTCGATACTACCTTCTGCTCTCTTCTAGCGACCTGCTGTGTATCAAAGAAGACTGCCGAGCACAGTGCTGTCCCTGCTGTGGATGGAGATGGTACGTGACCCAGAGCTCCACCCCTGGAGCCAGAGCCAGGATCGATCTCCCTGTCGTCTCGTGCTGGCCTACTTGCTGTCCTCTGTCCAAAGTGGTTTTCTTCCTGGGATAGACATGACCCTGAGCTCTTGCTCATTCAGTCTCTTCTCAAATGGTATCTCCTCCAAGAAGCCTTCATGTCTGATCTGCCAAACATCGCAGGCCCAAGCTCTGTGTAGTCTCTTCCTCCGCTTTGTCTTTAGCTCAGCTCCCTGCACTTTCATTTATGAAACTCATTTACTGCCTCTCTCCCTTCCTGCGTAGGCTGTCGGGGAGGGACTGTGCTACTCCTCTTATACTCCATGAACTGAACCCATGCCTGTTAGCATGGGCACTCACACATGAACTGTCCTAGTGTCTACAGCCTGCCTGGGGAGAGGGTTGTGTAGCACTGCTTAGTCCCAGGCAGCTGAGGACGTTCCGTTTGGGTAGTCCTCTCTGCTGTGAAAGAATGGAGCTTAGTGTTGTGCATTGCTTACAGATGAGGAGATGATGGCCACTGAAGTCACCCCTTCACCTGTGGCCGAGCTCACAGACTTGGGGAAATGCCTGATGAAGCATGAGGTGGGTAGAGGGGACTGGTGGTACCTTTCTCCTTGCTCTGGGCAGATGTTCTCAGGAAACATGCAGGTCCACTGCTGCAGATTGCTGGTATTTGGCCTCTAGAGCTCAGCTTTTATCTGCCCTCCCATATACAGCTTTCCCCTCCCCCCAGCCACCACCATCTGTCTCTTTTTTTAAAGAGACAGAGTCTCACTGCATAACCCTGGCTGGCCTGGAACTCACTGTGTAGCCCAGGCCGGCTGCTGGGACTAAAGGCCTGACTGTTTATTTCTCCATGTTCCCTTTCTTCCTTCTCTGTTCAGGACATTTGCACAGCACTATTAATTACCGCCTTCAGCTCTCTGACCTGGAAGGATACGCTGTCTTGCCAGAGGGCGACCACACAGCTCTGCTGGCCTCTTCTCAAACAAGTATGCTTATTCATTGTTTTAGGGGTGGGTTTGTTTGGGGTTTTTGCGGGGAGGGGAGGTGGACCTAGGGCTACAAGCATGCTAGGTGAGCACTTTACCACTGACTACATCCCCAATTCTTTTTCTTTTTTATTTTGAGACAAGGGTCTGACTAAATTTCCCAAGCTGTCCTTGAACCCGAGACCTTGAAGTCTTGCTGCCTCCTTGCCACTCCTGAGTAGCTGAGGCTACAGACCTATAGTCTGTTAGTTATTTTTGTATTGCTGTGACCAAATTCACCTAATACAGACTAACTGATTTCTGGGGGATTTTAATCTACAGTGGGTAAAGCATGGCTCAGTTCACTGTGGCAAGAGCATATTGTGATAGCTCCTCTTATCTCAGCAAACAGGAAGCCAAGAGCACAGTTTTTGACCAGGGACAGGCCTAACAGTTAACCTGTGACCTGCTTCTGCCAGTCAGGCCCCAACTGCTAAAGGCTCCACAGCCCTCAAATAGCCATATTGATTGAATATGCAGAACATGACAGGGGCTCTGTCAGAGTCGGTCCTTGCCACCTTTTCCTTTCCTGTCTGCAAGTTGAGGTCAGCCTGGTAGACTGAGTCAGGTGGAAGAACTGGGGGTGGGCCCTTCAGAGGCTCGTGGCTCCTGAGCACAGCTGTCTTCCCAGGTGATGTCTGGGACCCTGCTGGCAGACGCTGTCACATGGCTTTTCACCAGTGTGCTGAAAGGGTTGCAGATGCACGGGCAGCATGATGGGTGCATGGCTTCCCTGGTCCACCTGGCCTTCCAGATATACGAGACACTGGTAAGTGGAGCGGCAGGGCAGGACGGCTGGCGGTCTAGCCGCTTCACTCAACCTGCCTCCCAGGATCTTGAGCTGTGGCCCAAACCCAGGCATCTGCCATCTGCTTATGCTGCCCGAGGGAGGGTGTGCCATGGAATGGGGAAGGTGACAGGCCAAACCTACATCCATTGAGTTCATTCCCCACTTAACTAGCGCCCCAGGTACCTAGAGATAAGAGCAATAATGGAGCAGATCCCTGAAATACACAAGGAGTCTCTGGACCAATTTGACTGCAAGCTTTTAAACCCCTCCCTTCAAAAAGCAGCTGACAAACGCCGGAAGGACCACTTCAAACGTCTCATCGCTGGCTGCATTGGGGTAAGTCTTACATCCCTGTTCCGGCTCCCAGCCCCACACAGTTGCTGTCTTAGACTGTTGTGGGTAAATTCCAAACCAACGAGTCACTGACTGTTCTGATTGTGTGTGTAAGGTAGGGGGTCCTCTGGCCCACAGCTCGGACCCACCATCACTTTTCTCTTGTTCTCTACAGAAACCCTTGGGAGAACAGTTCCGAAAAGAAGTTCACATTAAGAACCTTCCCACACTTTTCAAAAAACCAAAACCAATGCTGGAGACAGAAGTGTTGGACAGTGAGGGGGGTGGACTGGCCACCATCTTTGAACCCTGAATCAAGCTTTTGGGCATCCTTCTCTGGCCTTCGTTGTCATCTCTTCTACCCCTTGTAGCTAATCTCTAGGCCCTTGTACTGCCACCTCACTTTCCACATCAGCCTGGAGATGCTCAGATCCAGGACCAGCTGGAGAAGAGTGGCCCTGTGTGGGGCCCAAGTCACTCTACTGAAGTATTGAGAAAAGGGAGTTAGGACTTACACCATTCCACAGAAACGTCCTAGGGAGATGGCATTCAACTTGCAGTTTGGGCTTTTCCAAGAAAAGCTAGAGCACAATGACCTTCCCCCAGAGCAGCTACACCAGCATGGACAGGACCGGGTGCTGTGCCCAGCACCACTGACCACACTTGCAAGGGCTCAGCCAGTTCCTCTTGGACTACAAGGGACCCACTTGACCCCCTTGCTGCTGGGCTGACAGGGATCCTTCTCTGCTCCCAGGGCATGTTTGGCCTAGGTGCTACATGCTGAACCACACTGAGCCAGTTCTCATGCTCATCTTAAGCAAGGATCTGGCCACTTGGTGGGATCCATGGTACAGGCTTTTGCTAAGGTCTGAGCACAGTCTCCAGGGACAAGAGCTGGGCAGTTTGGTCAAACGTGTTCTTTAAAATGCACGTCCTGCCCTTCAATGAGTGACCCTCAAGGGCTTCCCCAGCCTCAGGCCTACTCGGTAGCACGAGGCCAATCACAATCAGACCAATTAATCTCGTTTCTGGCAAGCTAGCAAAGCCACTGTCCGTTTGGGACTAGCTGAGTCCAGGTGCCTTTGAAAGTTTCTCATGACTCTTCTCAAGGGTTGCTTCATCCCTGGAGGGAACACAAGCAAAGCAAGATGAGTGTGAGGCCTGGCCCTGCCTGTTAGGAAAGGCAGATCTAGCCTGTGTGTCTGCTCTGACAGGCCCACTCGGACCTGGTACAAGCTACAGGCGCACACAGCTAGGTTGGCAAGTGCAGGCTGGGAAAATGGGAACTAGAGTGCCAGGCCTCTGTCTACAGCTGCACAAGGCCATCCCACTTTGCGTGGTACTTGGAGTCTACAGGTTGTCAAGGTGATTCCAGTGTTTCCCTCCAAACCTGATAGCTGCCTACTCCTGTCTGGTTCGCGCTGTGGAGGATGTAGTTGTATTTATTATGTTGTAATATTTTTAACATCCTATGACTTCATGCTAGAAATTTTCTATTGTTTATAGAACCTTTTGTAGAAACTCTAACTCTAAAGGACATCTGCATGTCAGTAAAAATCTCCTTTCGTACACAAAGGGCCCAATCCTCCTTTTTCAAATGAGTGACCCCTCCAAGGTTACTCAGGAGCATCCTGTTGGGTGGACTAAATAGGAGAACCTGTTGATGGTTTCTATCCGTGACCAGCAGAAGGAGATGGCTATCTTCTGTTGAGCAGTCGGTGGTAACACGGCTGAAGCTAAAGATCCGCCTTTTTCATTGGAAGGAAGCCCAGGAGACAGGTGATAAGAAGCACATCCCCACAGCTAGTGTAATTCAGCCTCTCAGACAGCTTTATGACCTGGAAGCCTCTGCTTGGTCCTTAGTTGTTAATGTTAACTCTTTGAGGCAAGGCTCCTTATTTTTAGACAAAAGTAATTATGAAAAAAAATTTTCCTAGTATATCAATTTATTTACATCAAAGGCCTTACAAAGGCAGAAGTCTTAGTCTGTGGCACATTTAATAAAATGTATTGACTGAAAATGAGACCATCCCAGAAGTGCTGTGGAAGCCTCAGTCCATCTGGCCCGCGTCTAGTTCATCCAGGAACCGCCGGCACTTCCCCATCAGTATCTTGATAGCTTCACTCACCAACACATCTGGCGGCAACACTCCAGTGGACTCAACAGAAACTAGGGACCAAAAAGACACTTTAGCCCTGGCAGGATTTACCTAGTTCAAAATCCAAAGAGTACCATACCACCCCCACTCACAGATATAATGGTCCCGGACCCGGGCAAGCCGCACAGCCTTCTTCAGCTTCTCATTCCGGAAGATTTCTCTGCTAAAGGTATCCAGCCGAGCATTGGCAACCCTGGCCAACTTTTTACCTGAGGAAAACAATGTTACACCTTAGCTTAATCAAGTCTAAGGGATTTTCTTTTCTGCCACCTTCAAAGAAAGTACACTCAAATCTTCATTACAACAGTATGCCAAACACCATACCTTGTACTTCCTGAACCTCAATCACACCCGGGGAGAAGCAGCGGCTCAGCTCCTCAGCCGCCTCCCCTTCCACAGGTTCAAGCAGAGTGATGTCTGGCAGGAGCCTGTAGCTGGCTGTTGCCACCGGTGAGAACTTGGCATGATCTTTGCCTGTGAGAAACTCTGTTATTCTTCTGTGCCAGGGACAACAACCCCAGTTGAGCTCCTTGGTTACACCATGCACTACAGACTCGCGCCCACCCAGGGCAGACTCACTGGGTTCTTACCAATGCCCTTGACGCAGTGCATAATCAAGTCAATCTCCTGGCCAGGCCGAAGCTGAGCAATGAGGATGTCGTCGTGCACTGGGCGAATTGTGCCCTCCGGGAAGACATCAGCCTGGTTTCCCAAGGGGACCCATGTCATATGCCTGGTATATACTGGAGGGAAATATGTCAGAAGATCCCAGATCCTAAAATTAGCACCCATCAGCCTGTGGGCCCTCTTCCTTCCCACTGCTCACCTTTGTGGTTCACATAGAGTTCATTGGGGTCAGAGGAATCCTTAGCAGCACTGGGGTTCCTGGTACACCTGACCTGCAGCCGAAACTGCAAAGTGTCTATCTCAGTTCCTTCCTCCTCCCCTGTATAAATGAGGAAGCAGGGTTGTGTTGTTTCAGACAGGGTTGGATAGCCCTGGCTGTCCTGGAATTCACTACGTGAATCAGGCCGGCCTTGAGCTCAGGAGAGATCAGCCTGCAGCTAGCTCTATGTGCACCATGCCTGGCCCTAGCCCTGACTAATAATAGGGGCTGGCAAGAAGGCTGAGTAAAGATGTCAGGCAAACCTGAAGACCTGAGTTCAATCCCTGGAACCCACGTGAAAACATACTCCAGAGTTGTCCTCTGACCTCCACACCCATGTGTACATGCACACAAAGTTCTTAAAAGAATGAAAATACATCCGAGTGCTGAAAGCCTTTATGTATATACAGACAAAGTTAAGGCAAGGACAAGTGTTCTCCCAGACGAAAGCCAACGTACAAAACACTAACTACCTCGACTAAGGTTATACAGTAGTAAACCTGGGATCTGAGTCCACAATCGACTTCAGAACAGTTCCTCTACTTAATCTCATCTCAGCCTCACCTTGGTTCCGATATTCAAAAAGACGAGGATCAGCAAGAATGGGGATGAGTCCCAGGCGGTGAGCAAGGATCTCATCCTGGACAATGGATGTGTTATTGTACACCAGAACCTTTTCCACAGCCATTGTTGGCACCTGTCCAAGAAAGCAGAATCATCCAACTGTAAAAACCCAACAGATCTCCACCTCCCTCCCTGCCTGGGAAAATAAAAGACAGCTCTTTTATTTTGTTCTTCAGATTTCTGAGCCAGGGTTTCACTATGTAGTCACTGTGTGCTCATCTTAGAGGTGTGACCCATCCCACCTGCCTGGGAGGGATGGCTTTGGGGACATTTCTACTAATGAGGTGATGATAGTTTCCCCACTCCAGCCCCCACATCTTCTACTACCTCAGCTAACAGAATTCTCCGGAAAGCATTAGCAATGGCAGCATCAATCCCCACCATGTCGAACTCCAATGTATTTTCATCCATATGTACTATGTCCACACGGAAATTCTAGAGGGACAGAGAAAGAACTATGAACACCTGTTTCCTTGTGTAATTCACACCTCCCTCTGTGATTACTCCCACCTTGGCAATGTCTCTCAATGTTTCCACCCTCTCTCATCCTAAAGCATTCCTCTGCCTAGATGATCACTAGACCTTTGTCTCCAGCCCCGTTCTTGAGTTTCGTAAGAAGCCTGTCTGTTTTTGTCTTTTTCTGTTGCTTTTTTTTTTTTTTTTTTTTTTTTTCTAAGACAGGGTTTCCCTGGCTGTCCTGGAACTCTCTCTGTGAGGACCAGGCTGGCCTCAAATTCACAGAAATACGTACCCCTGTCTTCTGTGTGCTAGGATTAAATGTGTACACCACTATGTCTGGCTTCCCAGTTTTGTTTTAAAGACCCTAAGCAATATGGCTCCACACAAACAACCCACAAAGGCTACTGTACTAAAGAGCAGAACTTCCCACACTACTTAAACCAGTTAATAATACTGTGTTTCTGCTGTTTTTAGTTTTTTAAACCCCTTTTTTTTCAAACTCTATTGCCTTGGTTTCTGAACACCAATTTAGTACTCTCTTCTGACATTCCTTCTAAATTCTCTCTTCCACTCACCCTGTAAATGTTACTTTCTCCCAGGTTCTAGTCTCCTGGGTGACTTCAACCACACTCTTAGCTTAAGTGACTACTCAGCAACTCCCAAAACTTGGTCTCACTTGATCTCACTTCAAACATCATCCATTTGACCTGTACACTTCACACACAGGAATTTAAAGTATTATTGCTCTTGTTCTCCTGTTTACCAAATGACACAATCAGCCATCAATACAGGTCTCCAGTGGGGCCGGAGAGGTGGCTCCCGGGTTAAGAGCAGTTCATTGCTCTTGAAGAACTGGGTTTAGTTCCCAGCACCCATGTGGTGGCTCACAACCATCCGTAACTCCAGTTCCAGACCTAACTTCCTCCTCAGATTTCCCAGGTCACCAGCCACACACATGGTGCACAAATACACATGCAAACAAACACATAAGGCCCCCCAAAAAGGGTTTACGTCCCGAAAGTCACAAGGTCCTTTTTTTCCACACACACACAGCCCTCACCAAAGCAACGACACATATTTGTTAGTTCTCTCTCACTCTGTGCTCCATTTCCACTATCAGTGGAATCCAGTCGTGCCCTCCATCTCAGCTCCCATACACTTATCTAGCAGACTTGCCAGAATTCATTCCCTCTCAGCTATTAAGGTAGCAAAATTTGGCCTACTGAAAAATTCTCTTTAATTCGGGCGTGGTAGTGCACGCCTTTAATCTCAAGCGCTCGGGAGGTAGAAGCGAGTTTCAGGACAGCCAGGGATACACACAGAAACCTGTCTCAAAAAACAAACAAAAAAGCTCTCTATTAACCTGCAGAGCTTAAGATGCACCCCAATCTTGTCTGCCACTCATGCCGACATACTGACATCTGACAATAATTTACTGCTGGAACAGGATCAGAGCAAACTTTACACAAGTGTTTATAATAACGCTCCATTTAGGCCTTCATAGCTCAGCTTTTATTCAAAGTTAAATGCTTAATTCAGATGTCATTTCCTTCACTGACCCTTAACTACGTCCTTCCAACTGGATGGATTAAGTGCGTCTACGTGATTGCCCTACCCCATCCCAGCCATCCTCTCCGCTATTTCATTATACTGGAATCATTTGTTTACGTGGTCCATTACCCCACCGAGAGTGAATAACTTGTTCCAGGAACAGGAGCCGTGTCTGACGGCCCGTCCACGGAACACCTAGCACATGGCTCGTTTTATGAAAGCAGCGACCCCCAACCCCAAAACCAACTTGTGAGGTCTGGCCCCTCAAGCCGTCTGGACACCTGCAGCGCCGCCCACCTTCTCGAAGCGGTCCTGGTCCCAAGCATCATCATAACCCGAATAGTTACCGGGGAAGTCAGTGGTATGGACCTGGAACAGACAGATGTGTTCACGAAAGGGCAGTGAGGTCCAGCCCCGAACCAGACCTCCCCCTCCTCCCTGCCCCGCCTTCATCTCTCCTGAGTTCAGATCAGAGCTTACATTGCGAACCCCGAACTCTCCTAGAACCACGCGAGTCCGCATTTCCTCCACTGCCTGAGCCGCCGCCATTTTCCACTATTCGCCGCAAGGGAAGCCTCCAAATCCGCGCATGCGTACAAGAGGCCCGTCGCCGTCTCCGAGGCAACGCTCCGCCTCCTGAACTCTTAAATGTCGCGATATCCTGCCCCGCCTCCGTCCACGTCCTTCACTTCCGGACGTCAATTGGGGCCAAACATCCGGGTTTCGCCTTTTTGCATTCCGGCGGATACTACCTCGCCCTCTCTCTTCTCTGGACGTCTTTCTTCTTCACTCGGGCTCAGATCTCACACTTTTCCCACGCGCGCGAGTTTCAGCGACGGAAAGCCTCGAGGGACATGGCGGCTACGGCGGCGCCGGCCAGCGGCGTCCGAAATGGAGCTGGCCCGGAGTGGGGAGGCTTCGAAGAAAACATCCAGGTATTAGAACCCCCGCGACCAGCAGCCCCCGGGCTGATGGCCGTCCCAAGTGTGGTAGCTGTTCTCCCTCGCGGCCTGGTAGTCGGCTCCATTGCAACACCTTCTGAGCTCTCTGAGCGAAAGTCTGTGGGGCTTGTGCTGACGTGAAAGGGCCAGGCTACGGCTCCAGCGGGCCTCGGCTCTCTGCCTGCCCGGAGCTTTGTGGACAGGTTGGAAGGTCTGTCTGGGTCATACATAGTGTACGGCTAGAGGGTAGGATTCACTGACGCTCCCCAAAGATAGACTGTGAGCATAGCTTGTTTGAGGGTTGGAGAAGGCAGCTGGGCTCTTGTGCAGCTCCCTGAAGCGTTGAGAGGGAAACTAGGAGAACAGCGTGAATTGCAGGTAAGTAGTAGGTTTCCTGAACTACAGAAGTGTGGCAACCAAGAGTTGTGTGAGCAGTGAAAGGACGGAGTATGGCCCGACCGGTAGCAGTTTCAGTGTCCTCACCAGTGCAAGAGCCAAGCCTCAAACCATGAGATGAGCAGAGAACAGAAGGATGCGACGGAAGGGCTCCTCACTCTAGGAACAATGTCTTCACAGGGTGGGGGCTCGGCTGTGATTGATATGGAGAACATGGATGATACCTCAGGCTCCAGCTTCGAGGATATGGGTGAGCTGCATCAGCGCCTGCGTGAGGAAGAAGTAGATGCTGATGCAGCTGCTGCAGAGGAAGAGGATGGGGAGTTCCTTGGCATGAAAGGCTTTAAGGGACAACTGAGCCGGCAGGTGGCTGATCAGGTAAGCAGATGGGAAAGCGGACCCATGTATGTCCCAATTGATGTAGGTTTCCAGTTAGAATTACACAGAAATCTAGCAGAGACTGGGTAACAGTCTAGAGCCAAGAGTTTCATAATACCCGTCTCCCTTCAGATGTGGCAGGCAGGGAAGAGACAAGCTTCCAGGGCCTTCAGCTTGTATGCCAACATCGACATCCTGAGACCCTACTTTGATGTGGAGCCTGCCCAGGTCCGAAGCAGGTGAGGAGCCTTCCCAGAAGAGTCTGACCTTCATCCAGAGTGCAGTCAGATACTGAGCCCTAAGCTCTGGTGGGCTCCCCTACTTGTAACCCCAGCACCCTAGTCACCAAACCTGTTGCTGAATACACCGCACTGGAAGCACACTGGCCTTGTTCTCTGTCTGGTGTGGCACCATCTTCCCGCCACACCTCGCTCACACAGCACTTGCTGTGTTCTCAGCCCTCCCCAGTTGGTCCTCGGCCAGGACTCCTAGACAGCTCCACTTTCTTCTCCCAGGTGGTTCTTCAAGCTGCTGTACGTTCTCATTCCTGGGTCAAACTCCTCAAGAGCAAGCTCTGCTGCCTTTATCCTTTTTTTTTTTTTTAGACTCTTTTCTCTCTGGCATCAAAACAGAGTATCAGAGCATAGTCATTAGCGGCCTCAAGAACTGGATTCAATGCTGGCTTGGTTCTTTGTTCATCCTTTAAGTAGTGCTGATACAAAACCTGGGGCCACTATACATTGAGTTTTTATTCTATGATATCTGATTCATTGGTGAAGATAGGCGGGAGCCTTGACATTGAGTGCAGTCACAACGTAGTACTCTAGTATGACTGGGACACACAGGAGGGACACTTGAGCCCAGAAAGGCTGCAATGTCCAAAAGGGAAGGCTTCCCAGAGGAAGTAATATCTTAATTAAAAAGAGCAATCCAGGCTGGAGAGATGGCTCAGTGGTTAAGAGCACTAGCTGTTCTTCCAGAGGTCCTGAGTTCAATTCCCAGCAACCACATGGTGGCTCACAACCATCTAGGTTGAGATCTGGCGCCCTCTTCTGGCCTGCAAGGACACATGCAGACACAACACTGTATACATAATAAATTTATAAATCTTTAAAAAAAAAAAGAACAATCCAAGAAACAAGAGTAACTGAAGGTGTAGTGGCCATAGGCAAAGAAAGAAAAGATCTCTTTTTATTCTGTGTGGAATTTTTCATACCACTTTAAGTATATTTTTCAAGAAAAATGCTAACTGCCTAGAAGAATAGTAATTAGAAAGAGTCAGGAAGTGTCCTGCTTCCTCGGTAGTTGCGCTGTTCCCAGGGCTTCTACATTTTGGGTGCCTTCTGCAGATGTCTGCCTGCCTTCTATAGGCCATGTAGGTAAACGGTCAAATCCTCCGGTCTCTCCAAGGTTTCTGAATAGCTGCTACTCCACTCACCTCAGAGGGCTGTCCTTCCTCAAAGTGATTTTTTTCATTCCCTGTCTTTACCCCCTCCCCCTTCCCCTCTTATCCAGTATGTCCTCTGGGCCAGCCCTATTCCCTGGCGGTAGAGACATGAGTAAGAGTCAGACCCTGCCCTCCAGAACCTCAGCATAGCTGCATCTGCCCTCATCTCTCCTCTCCTCTCCCAGGCTCCTGGAGTCCATGATCCCTGTCAAGATGGTCAACTTCCCCCAGGTGACTAGGGAAAGGCATGTCTGCAGAGGAGGGGGAGGCATCAGGGTAGAGGGTGGGCTGCCAGGCCAAGCCTGAGCAGGTGTGAAGAGAAGAGGCATTGCAGCCTCCAGTCTGAATGTGTTGTGTATTGACAGAAAGTCGCAGGTGAGCTCTATGGACCTCTCATGCTGGTCTTCACACTAGTGGCCATCCTCCTCCATGGGATGAAGACATCTGATACCATTATCGTAAGCAAGACACAGGCCTTGGGGAAGGGGGCGTGGCTGATGGGGCTTGCAGACTGCCTGAGGATATGATGGTGGAGTGAGACAAGAGCAGCCCCTGCCGAAAGCCCTGGTGAGGCTGAGATCAGAGGTGCCCTAAGCAGAGCCTTCACCCCACAGCGTGAGGGCACCCTGATGGGCACAGCCATTGGCACCTGCTTCGGATACTGGCTGGGTGTTTCGTCGTTCATTTCTTTCCTTGCCTACCTGTGCAATGCCCAAATCACCATGCTCCAGATGCTGGCACTGCTGGTAAGGAGCCGAGCCTGGGAGTGGGCAGGGAGAGCCCAAGATAAGGAAGGCCTTGGTCTGCTGCTCTCCAGGAGTCTGTGGGCCTGCGGTGGGAAGAGCAGCAGGCCAAAGACCCCACCAAGGGGCAGAAGGCCACTCCAGCCCAAGTGAGGATCCTCTCCTCTCTCTCCCCAGGGCTATGGCCTCTTTGGGCACTGCATCGTCCTGTTCATCACCTACAACATTCACCTTCATTCGCTCTTCTACCTCTTCTGGCTGCTGGTGGGTGGGCTCTCCACCCTGCGCATGGTAAGCTGAGCAGGTTTGCTGTCCACCCCACAAAGGGCTCTCCAGCTTCTGCCCTGGGTATCTCCATCCATCCCTTTGAAACAGGCCTTCTGAACCGTGTACCTGTGGCCCTAGGTGGCAGTGTTGGTGTCGAGGACTGTCGGCCCCACCCAGCGGCTGCTCCTCTGTGGCACACTGGCCGCTCTACACATGCTCTTCCTGCTCTATCTGCATTTTGCCTACCACAAGGTGGTGGAGGGTAAGTGGCCAGAGGGCCTGTGTGGGGGCCTGGGCTGGATGAGCTCACCTGGGGGCCTGCCCAGCCAGTTCTCACTCATCCTCATCCTTCCTTCTTTAGGGATCCTGGACACTCTGGAGGGCCCCAATGTCCCGCCCATGCAGAGGGTCCCTAGAGACATCCCTGCTGTGCTCCCTGCTGCCAGGCTTCCTGTCACTGTGGTCAATGCCACTGCCAAGGCAATAGCAGTGACCCTGCAGTCACACTGATCCTGCCTGAGACCCTTGGCCAGCCCTGACCCCCGCTCTGGGGCAGAGGGAGATCAAAGGACAGTACTGAGGACGTGTGTCTCTCTGATGAGGTCTGCGGCAACCACTGAGCTCTTGCTGCCTAAACACCTCCTGGGCACAGGTCTTGGCTTCTGAAAGGCACAAGGCCAAGGAACTCCTGGCCAGGACTGCAAGCCTTTGCAGCCAGGTGCAGAATATGGGTCAGCTCTTCTGAGGCCCTCCCCATCCACCCCTTTTTCTCTCCCTCCCCTCTTGTCTTGCTAAATATAGACTTGGTAATTAAACTATTGACTGGAGTCTGGAACTCCAGCTCCTGTCCAGGCATTCTCCTGTCGCCCTGCTTCTGATCCACATTGCTGTTCTGTCGGTGGTGATGGTCTATGCCTTCTGTGCCCTCACTCAGGCAGGACGGAGGAAGGACAGGCAGCCTGCTTAGAAGGCAGCAGCTGCTTGTAGAAACTGTCCCTGAGGGCTGGAGACACTTGACCCACAGAGCAGCAGGCAGACCCCAAGCAGGAGAGCCGCAGTGCTCGTGTGGATGTACACCAGGCTTAACTCTAGGCTGGCTGTCCTTTCGAGACACCAAAGCAGCAGTGACAAAATGAACATAAACTGACTCCATCATTACAAGGACCTTCTGTACCGGGTTGCTGAAGTAATGTCCACATAGAGCTGACAATTGAGCCAAACCTGGTTTTACTGAAGCTTTAGTTTCCTGTCCTCCCTCCAAATGTTATATTTAAACAACACCCCCCTTAACCTCCACTGAAGAAGTAAATTCAGGCTGAGCATGTATTCTTTAATCCCAGCACTCAGGAGGCACAGGCAGGTGGATCTCTGTGACTTCAAGGCCAGCCTAGTCTACAGAGTGAGTTCCAGAACAGTCAGGGCCACACAGTGAGACCCTGTTTCAATAAAAAGTAAATTTAGGGTGCTGGTTAAAAGCAGACACTGCTTTTTGAGGGGATTTAAGTTCTATTGCCAGCACCCTTTGTGGGTGGCTCACAACTGCTTGTAACTCCAGCTCCAGGAGCTCCAACAGTCTCTGAGGGTACCCGCTCTCACGACACAGACACATGCATACACATAATAAAAACAAAATTGGGGCCGGGCGGTGGTGGCGCACGCCTTTAATCCCAGCACCCGGGAGGCAGAGCCAGGCGGATCTCTGTGAGTTCGAGGCCAGCCTGGGCTACCAAGTGAGTTCCAGGAAAGGCGCAAAGCTACACAGAGAAACCCTGTCTCTAAAAACCAAAAAAAAAAAAAAAAAAAAAAAAAAAAAACAAAATTGGGGTAGAGAGATGGCTCAGGGGTTAATTAAGAGTTCAGTGCTCTTGCCCAGGACCTGGATTCAGTGGTTCAGTTCCCAGCTTCCACAGTTGGGTGGCTCAGATTTTCCTGTAACTCTACCACCCTCTTCTGGCTTCTGCAGGCACCTATACTCCTGTAGTATACACAAACACACAAATTTAAAAAAAAAAAATCAAATAGTTAACAGGAGGAAGGCTTTTGACAGTAAAGGTTTTTGTTTTTTGGTGGTTGTTTGTTTGTTTGTTTGCGGGGCCGGGGAGGTTCCAGACAAAGTCTCATTATGTAGCTCTGTCTATCCTTTAACTCAATCTGTAGACCAGGATGGCCTCGAACTCACTGAGATCCGCCTGCCTGTGCATCCCAAGTGCTGGGATTAAAGGCATATGCCACCACCGCCCAGCTTCTAGCTCACTTTTTAATTAAAAGGAAAAAAAAGTGGCTCTTCCTATTACACTGCCCTGTTGCACAAATGAAGCCCCCATGGAGATAGCAAGCATAGAGAGAAAATCCAGCTTCACTACTCCTGCCGCTTTACAATCTCGCCACCCCACCCCATTCCTACAGCTTTGGGTTGGTCTGACACCCTTTGGTTTTGGCAATCCCATTCTCCTGGATGTTAAAACGTCTTCAAGGCTGTTTCACCTGCCATACCCCAAGGTTCTGTCCGGTGCAGCTATATTGACCGCGAAGTCCCCGTGGGTTGGAATCCCCACGCATGCTACGGCTCGCGTCACTGGGACATGGGGGCGGGGCGCGGCACGGATTAAAGGGCCTAGGGACTGCCAAGCAGAATCGATTGTCCAGGGTCTTGGCGAAGGCGCGGAATCTCTAGATTTAGACCTTAAGAATGGAGAAGCACGGGAGAATAAGTGAAAGAAGCCGAAATGGCATCAAAGGTTGTCTCAACGTGACTTGCCTCCACCCTCCCCACGTGACGCTGTATCCCTCTACCTTCTTTTCACGCTGTCAAGCCCTCGGATCCTAGTTCTTCACCCTGAGACACGCATCGCACACCGGCCGCGTGGTCCATGCCGGGCTGGGGGGCGGGGCGAGAGCCAGTGACGCAACCGTTGCCATAGGAACTCGCCGCCTGCTCCGGCGCCGCAGCTGAAGCCGAGCTGCATCCCGCCCCGGCTGTCCCCGCGAGCCCTGCTGCCGGGCCCGGGGGCCGGCAGAGCGGGCGCGGCCTCCAAAGCCGCGAGGGAGAGGACTAGCGCGGGGCGGCTGCAGCTCGGTCCTCGGGCCGCCCCCGCCCCCGCGCCGCTCCCTCCTCCGCGCCTCCGCATCCCGGACCTGCGCCTGCTTTCGCTCCCGCCGCGGCCCCGGGCTCGCTTCGTCGCCACCACAGCCGCGGTTGCCTCGGCTCCGCCGCAGCCTCGGCCGCCTCCGCCTCCGCTCCGGCTGCGACCCCAACCGAGACCGTGACCTCAGTCCCCGCCCCGCCCCCGCCCGCAGCCGGGACAACTTGTGCCCAGGCCGGGACACCGGCGCCAGCCCCCAAGGCCCAGTCGTGGGGACCATGCTGCCCAGCTCCATCCAGATTTCGGGGGAGCCGCTGTCAGGCGCCGAGGTGCGGGACATCTGCCGCGGCCTGCGCGACAACGCGGTGCGCCTGCTCTCGCTGCGCGGCTGTCGCCTGTGCGACCGCGACTTCGGCCGCATCTGCCGGGCCCTAGCTGGAGCCACGTCCCTGGCGCAGCTCAACCTTAACCTGGGCGTCGTGTCCAGCCCCAGCCGCATCAAGCAGCTGGCGGAAGCGCTACGGACCAACCGCTCCATCCAGTCCCTCTTGTGAGTGTGTCCCCTCGCAAGGGGGTCCCGGCTACTGCACCCCCTACCACCTCCTGTATCTCCGCATTACCTTCCAGTACCTGTTTTCCCACCGTCCCAGCCTCTAATACACACCTCATCTTTCTTCTGGGTCCACCACACCCTCCCAGAAACATGGATCGTTTCTAGACTTTGCTCCACATTCAGACCCGCAGGAGAGCTGGGATGCCTAGCCTTCCTGGTAGGGAATGTCGTTCCTCCCCACCCCACCCCCAGTTACTTCATTGTGAAGCCCCTCATTTCTGAGGAAGGGTCACCTCCCATGGAGACTACAGCCCAGCCCTTCCAGCCCTACCCACTGAAGGATCTCAGAGGCCCGTGAGCATGTGTGCTGGCGAGCATGTGTGCTGGCTCCCCAGTCCTATCCACACACCCCTCCTTGTGCAATGTTCTTATTACCAGTTCCTACCCCAGAAAAGAAACCAAATCGTACTCCTTCAAATCTAGAATTTCCATTTTTTCCCTTCCCATCCTTGTCTCGGGAGGGGCAGCTTTCCCAAACAGATAAGGCTGGTGATTCATAATTCATCTCGTCTCAACCTTCAGCCTGCATGGGAGCCCACTGACAGATGCGGGACTTGCCTTGCTGAACCCGGCCCTGGCTCTCCACCCTGCCCTTGTGGCTCTTGACCTGGGGGACTGCATGCTGGGTGATGAAGCCATCAACCTTATCTGTGGTCTCCTCCCTCCAGATGGGGCCAAGTCTGGTGAGCAGGGCCCTACTGAGTGCATGGGCTAGTGTGACTGATGAAGGGTGAATGCACAGGAGGGGGTGTGGCCCAGTGCTGAGAGCTGGGAGGGTGCAGTAAGAATGCCTTTTTTATCATTCTCAGGAAGGGAGACACTTAGGGACAGAGCCCAGTGGAAACACAGTGACCCAGGCAGGGGAGGAGTGAGTAGGTCCCTAATTGCTCCAGACTACTGTGGTTGGGGGCAAGGTGACTCCCAGCAATTAGGCTAACCCCATAGATACAGGGTGGAGAAGGGACTGACTCTACCCATCCTGGGTTCTCACTAATACTGCTGCCTAGGTTTGAAGGAGCTAACACTGAGTGCCAACCCTGGCATCACCCCTAAGGGCTGGAGCCGCCTCGCCATTGCTGTGGCCCACAGCTCCCAAGTCCGCGTCCTCAACCTGGACTACAACCCCCTGGGTGAGCTTAAGATCATTCCCCTCAATTCTCACTGCTCCCACCCTATCCAAAACCTTCAGACCACCAGTTGCCATAGTAACCCCCACTCAAGGGAGGGAAGATCAGTGAGAGCCCCCAAGGGGTCTCATAAAGGAGCCATCCTTCATGGAGTACCAGATGACCAACAGGTAGGTTAAAGCCTCAATCAGAACCCGTGGATCTGACTTGCTTCATCTCCAAATGCTCACTTCCTGGCCACTCACCTGTGTCTCCTGGCCAGGCATCGTGGTCCTGACCAGGACTAAGGATTAACAGACCTCTATTTTCTCAGATGGCTGAGAATTTGTGCTCTCTCCCTAGGTGACCATGTGGCAGGGATGCTGGCTGTAGCTGTGGCCTCAAGCCGTACCCTAGAAGTCCTAGACTTGGAGGGCACAGGGCTCACCAACCAGTCAGCTCAGGTGAGAGGCCATCATGTTTTGGAGACAAGCTAGGGGAAAGGGTGAAATAATCATCATGTCTGGGAACAGACCCAAGGGCTGGTCTGTTGGACCCAAGGGAGCTGCCTAAATTGTGGGGTTTTTTGTGGGGGAGGGGTTCCGAGACAGGATTTCTCTGTGTAGCTTTGGTGCCTGTCGTGGATCTCGCTCTGTAGCCCAGGCTGGCCTTGAACTCACAGAGATCCGCCTGGCTCTGCCTCCCGAGTGCTGGGATTAAAGGCATGCGCCACCACGTTTTATTTATCAATCAGTTTTAATTTTACAATTTATTATTTATTATTTTATGTGAAGGAATGTTTTACCTATATGTCTGTGGTGCACATGGAGGCCAGAAGATGGTGTCAGATCTCCTGCAACTGGAGTTATAGATGGTGATGAACAGCCATGTGGGTGCTGGGAATTGAAACCTGGTCCTTAGGAAGAGCAGCCATTGCCTGTAACCACTGAGCCACACCCGTCCTGTGTTTATTCTTTTCTGTGCTCTTCCATTCCTCAGACCCTGCTGGACATGGTAGAAAATTACCCAACAGCTTTGCGGAGTCTGGTATTGGCCGAGAACAGCATTAGCCCAGAGCTGCAGCAGCAGATCTGTGACCTCCTCTCTGAGGGGGAAGAAGAGGAAGAGGTGGCAGGAGGGGCTGTGGATACACAGGAATGGGGGCGAGGGCGGGAGCCTGCGGCCCATCAGCGGGGTGGCAGCTCCTGGATGTGCCCCAGTGGTAAGAACCTGGAGAAGGGATGAGAGCTAGGTCTGGAAGATTTGGAACAAGGGGGTGAGGCTGGGAAACCAGGCCATGGCTTTTGTTTATTTGTGGTGCTCACTAAGGCATGACTGGTGGCTGAACACCCTTCTGCCCTCCCACAGATCCCAGCTCTCAGATGGTGCTAATGACATCAGGACTAGGGGACAGTCTACTGGCCGAGACCGAGATGTGACCCTCCACTTGGGCTTCTGTGCATTGTTACGTTTGTCTGTATCCCCACTACCTTCCCCCATAGGGCAGGGAAAGGTCCTGGCTGGGGTTCTGGCAGTCCGTAGTTGTGGGAGGCTCTGGAAGCTGTCACTGGGCATCAGCCTTGAGGGGTGGGGGGACTTGAACTTTGAACTTGTTGGCAGCTCTGGCTGCAACCCGCTGGCTCGGAACAGATTTTATAAACTCTACAACCTGGCTTGCGGCTGTAGTCACTGGGGATGACCAATGGGAGGGCCTGGCAGTGCCACTGACCAGAAATTAGGGGTATCACCCTACAGCTCACTCTACGTCTGCCTAGGTCTAGGACCTAGGGGTCCTGGGAGTTCAGATGACACCTGAAGATAACTAGAGTGAGGAGCTGGGCTGAACTTTACCCTCCTTCTGCAGGGAAGCTTATCATTACCCCTTCTGTTACCTGAGCACCCCCTCCCCATGCCTGGGCCACGGGAAGCCAGGCAGAATGGGCTAAAGGGGGGGTCTCTGGCAAAGACTAGGAAACGCTGGACTAGAAATACGTAAGTGCTGGAGTGTTCAGCAGTTAACACGTAACTCCAGCTCCAGGGTACCAAACCTCTGGCCTCTGTGGGCACCTGCATGCTACACACACACACACACACACACACACACACACACACACACACACACACACACACACACACACACACCACTCAGAAAGTTAGCTGGGTACATGGTGGTACCCAGCACTCTGGAGGCAAAGGCAAGTGGTTCTGTGAGTTCCAGGCCAGCCTGGTCTACACGAGATGCCATCTTAAAAATAAAAACAAGAATAGGGATTATAGTGGGAAGGAGAAAGTCAATTAAGGCAAATGAAGCCATACCTATAAAATAAGTTTTATTTGATTTTAAAACAGTCATTAATGTGAAAATTTCCCCAATCTGGGAGTAACAGTCTAGAGCCAAGGTTAAGAGGGGGCCAGGCCTCACCTGGAGCCTAGCTTGAGGCCCCTAAAGTCCCACCCTCTCTCTGGAAGGGACGGTGGGAACAGCTGAGGAGAGCCCTGAGTGAGTCCACCCTTGTCCCTAGGTCCAGCTGGGCCAGGCCAAAGAGTAGCTCATGCAGAGGAAAAGAGTACTCGGAGGTCAGTAGCATCAATGATACTGCCCCCGACAACCAAAGCTCCTGGATAGGAAAGGAGAATGGAAAAAGAACACTGGAAGCCGGGCGCCTCCCCGTGATAACTCCTGGACTGACTTGGGACTCAAATGACTTACTACCTTTGGAGAATAAGTATTCCAAGAGGAAAAGAAAGTCTCAGGAGGCAAGCTGGCACCAATCGGTGCCAATGCAGCTGCAAGATTTGGTGTGGGCCCCATTCACATAGGACACAGAGCTACCCAGGTCTGAGGAGAGTTCAGGAGTCAGCCGCATGCAGCCCCAAGAGGTGGTGGCAGGGAGGCAGTGGGCTTAGCTGAGCAGGGTGCCCTGTTCCTGCGCCTGCGTCAGGCTGTCCTTGCGGTGCAGGTGGTGCACCCCCATCCTCTTGGGGCTGCGCTGAGGGCGGCTGGAACTGCGGAGTGGCCAGGCCCTGCCATCAATGTGGGAAGTGTGAGGTCCATCCTCTGCACCCTCATTACCAGGCAGCAGGCTCTGGCGCTCTTCCTCAGGGCTGACAGGCAGATTCAGCATGTCCTCTTCCTCCTCCCTGGGAAAGGCAGAGTCAGGCTCTGTTGGTAGCAGCAGTCCACTCTCACGGTGTGGGGACGGTGGCAGGGCCTCCGCGGGGCTCGGCGAGAAATGGAGCTGTAGCTCAGGAAGTGCATCCCGCCCAAAGGCTGTGCGCTGGACCACAGCAGCGGGAGGCGGGGTGCGGTCCACAAATGCACGCTGCCAGCTGGCCAGCAGGTCCTCCTCAGAGCTGGCAGAGCTGGCTGGGGCACTGAGTGCTGAGGGGGCTGGACTAGGGTGGTGATGGGGTGAGCCTTGGGCTGAGGCAGGATTGCTAGGCACTGGGCTGCGGTGGACCCGCTCACTCCCCTCCTCCACCAGGCTCAGGGAAATGGCCTGCCGAGTGGCATAAGTACAGTTGGGTAGGGGGCTGTTGCGTGGAATTCGAATCTTATCCTCAGAAAACTCTATTACCTTCCGACCAGGATACAATGGATGTGGTGGAGATGGGGTAGGGTAGGGACTCAACTTCTCAAAGGCTGGCAGGGGCAGCTCCTCCTCTGGGGAGCCTCCTGTAGTACTCACAGAGCAGCATTCCCCATTGGGTTGTGGAGAGGGACTGCCAGGGGCGGGGGGGCTGGCTGAGTCACCTGGAGCATCCCCACTCATGTCCACATGCACGAATACATCCTCAGCCAAGGGGCGTCCAGCACTGCCTGACTGGGCTGAATTGAGCAGGAGAGACTCCGGTTTCTCCAACACCCGGGCAATGACTGAGGTAGGCACCACAGCCCCTGCGGCCAGGCTGGAAGAAGGGCTGGGGCTGGCGGCCTCCTGACCACTACGCAGATGTTTCCTGACCATGTCCTGCAGCTCACAGGGTAGCTAGGGTAAGAGGAGAGGAGCGAGACACGAATGAGCCCCGCTGAAGATAGCTTGACTCATAGCAAAAACAAGAGCCACCACGTCCTGGTTAATCCTGTGCACTCAGCTTTTAAGCTTCTACACAACCTCACTTCACAGAAAAAAACAACTGGTACTGTATTTAACATGAAGTTAACCAGCTCAACTGCTAAGACCTATGTACACCAAAACATCTTTCCTCCGTCTCAGGCGGCTTGCGCCAAAACCAGACTTGGAGAGCGCCAGCCACTCCAGACCTGCAAGTACCTCCAGTCTGCAGGCCAGCTCAGCCTTGGCTTGGAGAGGGATGGGGTCAGATGGGCTGTCTCAGTGTCAAGGCTAACAGCTCTGGCCACCCCTTCTTCCTGCACAGGCTCCGAGGACTGACAGTACCTTATGAAATACTAACAGAGCCAGCTCCAACACTAGTTACAGGCCTCGGTGGCACCCAGGAAGTGCAACCCAGGGGCAAGAGGAAGGAAGTGGAAAGGGAAGTCAGAGGAAGTAGAAGGCAGAGATGCACAAAGTGGGCAGAGTCCTGAAAAGGCGGAATGATGCCGGGCAGGTGTGTCACTCACATCAGCAAGCTTGTGGTTCCGGAAGTGGGACTTGTTGCACTTGAGGAGCTGCACAGCCAGGTTGCAGTCCAGCCGGTACCGCTCCTGCAGACAGAGACCTGCTTAGAGCCCAGCCCGCCCAAGGGTGCAAGATGTAGCCACGCCGAGGATGGGCACATACATTGAGCTCCTCCAGCTTATTGATGGTATTCTTGGCATCCAGCAGCTTGTTAGTCAGCTCCACAATCTCCCAGTCCAGGGTCTTTCTATCCATCTCAGCCTTCTTGATCTGCAGCACAGACTTGTGGTAAAGCCAGCCCGGACCCCAGCCAGCCCTCTCCCTCCACCACCTCCAGCCCAGAGACACAGGCCACAGGTGCTAGGGCAGCCAAGGCAGACAGCAGACATGACGACAGACAGGAGGAGACTCGGCATTTCTCCTGCTCTGCAGGCTGCTCATGAGGAGCCGTCTGAGAAGAACCTAATGCCATGGGAACCCAGGACGGAGGCAGTCTAAGAAACTACCCATCCTTGGCGGGGGCTTAAGGGACTCTAGGCACCCGGCAAGGCACTAACATCTCAGAGGCAGGAACTGCAGCCAGGGACTAAAGCCTGTGTGAGCAGCTGTCTCTGAGATCAGCTAGGAGTGGGCGTCTATGAGATTAGCTGGATGGGCTCAGAGGGAGCTTCAGCTCCCTTAACGTGTACCCACAGCCTGGGCTTGCTGCCACTGCAGCTGGGAAGCTGGGAAAGCGCTGAGGGCTGCCATCAACCAGCACCTCTGCCAGAGCCAGGAGCAGAACCCCAGACCCCGGTCTTTCCCAGGGTGGAGGCACTGACTACTAACGGGCCTCACAGTGACGGAGAAGAGTGGATGTGCTCAAGGGCAGAGGGAAACGGCCAAGGCCCCACCATCCCTGATACGGACCAAGGAGGCCAGAACCAGGGGAAAAAACACACACAAACTCAGACGCAACTGCAAAAATCCAGCTGTGGCTAAGAGAGGCCTGAGAGGAGAATGCAGCAGCAGCGGTGGCGGCATGAGGGGAGACGAAGAGAGAAGAGAAACAGTGTGAGCATTAACAGTCCCGACTGGCACAGCACACTGCAGTCCCCTCCCCAACACTGCCATGCCCTCCCTCCCCAAGCCCAGGGTGAAGGGCAGCCCACTGCGATGCTAGTCCTGCCAGCACAGTACCAGTGTGTGCAGCTTGTCCTCGAGCTCCTGGTTGGTCCGCTGGGAAGCTGTGTAGCTGTTCTGCAGCCTACAGAGGGACACAAGGCGGAGAGCCCTGGTCAAGATCCTGATCTTCAGGGCCACCAAGCCTCCTCTACATGGGACTCTGGGAAAGGCCCCGGGTTTCTAAACAGAATCAGGTGGGAGCTGAGGCTCTTGCAGCTAACTTCCCACAAAGGGGGAGATACCTGGCCCTTTATTCCCACACCTGCGGAATTTGTCTTTAAATTTGTCCAGTTCCTCACGGCTCTGGCCTAACTCCAGTTCCAGGCAGTCTTGTCCTATTTCCAGCTCCCGCTCCAAGGCCTCAGTGCGTCTGGTGGCTGAGGCCAGGCGTCGGCGAAGCTCTTCATTCTCCTGCTGCAGAAGTCTGGGGTGGGGGGACAGGGAATCATCAGATAGCTAACCCTGGAGCGCCAGACGGGACTGGGAAAGGACAGGACAGACGAGTGCCCTTCAGTTTCAGTCTAGCTAGGGGGACTCTATCCACAGGCCCTCTGGCCTCAAGAGAGGCCTAGGTTGGAGAGGGGATGGGGTGGGAGCAGAGGGTATGGTGTAAAACATTCCGCTTTGCCCCTCACCAGTGCAGAAGACTAGGTCAGAACAAAAGGTCACCACCCAAGCCCGCAGGCCACCAAGCCTTGCAGCTCCAGTTTCCCCACTTCACAATCAGGCTTCTCCATTATTAATCTCTTGGGAATCCAGGCCAGCACTGCTGCTCTCCAGGAGGCCTCAAATGCTGACAGAAAGGCGGCAGCTGGCACAGGGGGGCCACTCTCTAGAGCCGGGAGCTGGGCAAGGGCTCTCTGCAAGGGCACATCCTCGGCCCACAGATGGAGGAAAACCCTTTTCCCAGGGAGAACATGTACAACACTGAGCCCTAAAACACCCCATCCAACCTTTACCTCTGCCGAGCATGAGTGGTCCATGGGCTGTGTGTGGCGAGGAAGGCATGGATACACCCCAACACAAAAACTGTAAACTTACTTAAAACTAACATTTTTTTTCTGCAATTTTTGTTTGTTTTGTAATTCGAGTCTACGGTTCTTGAGCATGAACAACTGTAGGTCACAACATTGTGCCACAATGTCAGAAGTTGGAATGTCAGAAGGCCAGATGTAAGGAGAAACCTGGGAGTACCGAAAGCCTACAGCAGGAAGCGGAAAGGGGCACAGTGCACAGGAGAGTGACGGACAGCCAGTACTCACTTCATCCTCTCTGCGTCAGTCAGGGGCCCCTGGACAAAAAACAGGAAAAGCCTGAGACTCAGATCCAGCCACTGGCCTCCTGGCTGGCTCATACTTCAAACAGCCCTGGAGAGGGCTGTGTAACACAAGAGGGTGACAGGTGAAACCCAGTCATGTCTGGATGAGCTTACAGTGCCCTCTCCCATGCCAACCAGAACATTCTAGAACCTCTTCCAACATCTACCCTTAATCCTGAAGCCATCTTCATAGGTGACCAGGTACCCATGCCATCTCTTCCCCAAGAAGAGAGCACCTCTCAGGTGTCCACTCCTCACAAGCATGGCACAGACTTTCTAGAGAAGTCAGTCAAGGCACACTATAGAAGTTGTGAGTTGAGAGAGCCCTCTCAGCCCCTACAGAGGAAGATGGACAGAATCAGGACCTTGGAGGATGAGGTGGGAGAACTGAATGGCGGAGAGTCTCTGGGGACAAAACGCTATGGGGCTTGGGTTGGTGAGTGTTTGCATGTAGGTTCTCATGCAGCCTAGGCTGGACTCAGACTCACTGCGTAACTGAAGGTGACCAGGAACCCCTGACCTCACTGCCTCCATCTTCCAATATACGTATGGACCACCAAACCATTTTGTGTCTTGCTTTGAAACCCCTGCCCCAACTTTCCTAAGCTCTTACAATGGCATGACCCAAGCGCCAGAGCCCAGCCAACCAGAGCAGGCCCAAGCTATGCAGAAGGGGCACTTTAGAAGTGCAGGCCATGAGTAAGCCAATGAAGTAAACAGCTCAGATCACGGACTCTAGCCTGACAACTGGATTGGACCCTACTCAGCAATACACTGGTGAAAGCTTCACCTCCCTTAACCTTAGCTCCCTCTTTGTAAACCTGAAAGTTTTATCTAATGTTCTCTGAGCTGCAATGAACAAATGGTGGCACTTTCTCCCTAGACTGTCCCAGGAGGCCAGGACACAGCCGACGCTCAGCATCTGAGACTGGACTGTGTGCACTGTGGGGTGGGAGGAAGGCTAACAGGAAGCTTCGGGAACCACCCATGCTCACTAGACTGGAGTGTCTGGCAGTTGACCACAGGCCTCCTAAGAGCAAGCCTAACATGGTTCCTGGCAGAGAGTATGAAGTTATCAAGTTAGGTGGGTGAAGGGCCGGACTTTGGAGGGACAATGGAGGAGAGCTACTGTGGTGGGAAGCAGCTGGAGTGCCACCCTCCTTAGGCTCCCTACAGAGGCCAAGGTTGAATGACTTTCCTTCAGCACAGCCAGGGCCCGGACAGTCCAGTGGGCTGGCTGTTACAGGGAGAACTGCAGTGTTTGGGACGACTCTGCTGAGCTCAGAGACCACGGCTCCCTGGGACAGGAGCACACACCGACAGCCCACCGGCACCACCACAGCTCCATCAGCAATGTCATCATCCTCCTGCCCTAACACACGACCAGCACCTCGGGCCCGAGAAGCCAGCCTCTGCCAGCCAGGGCCAGATCGCAGTCTTGCTGACCTCTTGCTCGAGCGGGGACACAGGGATCTCCAGACGCAGCTCCCGATGCTCTGGAGGTGCCTTCCGGTACGGTTTCTTAGCAGGGGCAGCACTGGTCATTCTGGAAGGAAGGTGCAGGCTCGTCTACCTGCCAAGAGAAGCCAGGGAGAGAAAGGCTCAGAGATGTGGGGAGAGGCTCTGAAGGGCCACTAAGATGGCTCAGTGGGTAGGGCACTTACTGCTCCTGACAATCTGACATTTGTCCTCAGAACCCACATGTTGGAAGGAAAGAATCGACTCCCACAAACTGTCCTGACCTCTATAGCTGGTAATGTGGCGCGCACGCGCGCGCACACACACACACACACTGAAGAGAATTCTAAGCAGCCCCTGGACCGAGCATTTGAAGATGACACTCAGGATGGATGCAGGCAGCAGTGCCCAGGCAGACGGGCCTGAGCCACAGCTGGGTCACCAGAAGGGCGGGGCTTTGGTGTGTCAGTCCTGATGCAGGATCCATCAGAGCAGTGCTGGAGATGAGGGCAAGGATCCAATGGAGAACAGGCAGGTGGGAAAGACAGGCCCAGGGTGAGAGGCCTTGCTCTAAGAGTGGGGGGGGGGGACCTCAAGAGCAGCCTATACTTGTGGCCACAGAGAGCTGCAAAGCACTGATTCTCCTCAACTCTAGACTGAGGCTAAAAGCAGCACCAGTTTCACAGGGCTCTTCTGAAGACTCTATCAGTCCGTAAGAACAGTGCCAGAGCCGCCGGGCAGTGGCAACGCACGCCTTTAACCCTATCAATCAGAAGGCAGACACAGGTGGATCTCTGTGAGTTCAAGGGCAGCCTGGTCTACAGAGCAAGTTCCAGGACAGCCATGAAAAAAACAAAAAAAAGAACAGTGACAGATTAGGCTGCATAGTGGCCCACGGTTTTGATCAAAGCACTCAGGAGGCAGAGGCAGGGGGACCTCTGTGAGCGCAAGGCCTGATCTTCAGGCAAGTCAGAACTGCATACCAGAACAGAGGGCAGGGAGGGAGGGAGAGAGAGAGGGAGGGAGGGAGGGAGGGAGGGAGGGAGGGAGGGAGGGAGGGAGGGAGAGAGAGAGGGAGAGAGAGAGGGAGGGAGGGAGGGAGAGACAGAGACAGAGACAGAGACAGAGACATAGGCAGCAATACACATTTGTAATTCCAAGTACTAGGGAGGCAGAGGAAAGAGAGTCCTAAATTGATGCCAGTCTGGGCTACACAGTCAGACTACTCACAACAAAAACAAAACAGTGCCCAGCACTTAGGTAAAGTTAAACACAGGTTTGCTTTCCATAAACTGTGAACAAACCTTAAAAGTCTGAGGATACTGACCCAACCCAGGCTCCAGGATAAGTGTCTCCAAGCTGAGAGCACTCTCTGGACACTGCCAACAAAGGCCAAGCCCATCTGGCCCCAAACACACTCTTTTGTTTGACTAGCTCCCACTAAAAGAGCGCACCTACCCAGCACCTCACCTGCCGGCCTCCCAGAAGAGAACCAAGTAGGGACAGGGGCCTCATCAGGACATACCGTCTGTCCGCTGGCAGCGTGCTCTGCTCTGCTGTCCTGGAGTTAGCTTTTGGCTCTCCACATCCCACGGCCCCTCCACTTCCTCCAGCCAAGAGCTCCTGAAACCAGAGAAGGGAAGAAAGTGGACACCAGGTGTCAGCCGCCTGCCTGCCCAGTTTGCGACCTGGAAGGCTCCCGGAAAGCAGCAAGCAGGGAGCCCACAGGACGGGGGTTTGGGGGAACGCGGCAGAGGCAGGGTAGTGGCCTGGGTCACAGAGTGAAGCCAAGTCAAAAAAGTTACAACTGAAATACTGAGCACCCACCTTTCTCCAAACAACGCCTGTGTCCACGCACACGCATTCACTGTCTCTACTTCCCACACACCCCGTTCTGGAAGAGGACTGCTACCACTCTTTTTTGGTTTTGTGTTTGGAGACAGGGTTTCTCTGTGTAGCCCTAGCTGTCCCGAACTCACTCTGTAGATCATTCTGGCCTTGAACTCACAGAGATCCGCCTGCCTCTGCCTCCCGAGTGCTGGGATTAAAAGTGGTGGCGCACGCCTTTAATCCCAGCACTCGGGAGGCAGAGGCAGGCGGATCTCTGTGAGTTCGAGGCCAGCCTGGGCTACCAAGTGAGTTCCAGGAAAGGCACAGAGAAACCCTGTCTCGAAAAACCAAAAAAAAAAAGAAAAAAAAAAAAGTGTGCACCACCAATGCCCGGCAGATCTGGTACTATTCTTCTTTTTTCCTTTTGGTTTTTCAAGACAGGGTTTCTTTGTGTAACAGCTCTGGCTGTCTTGGAACTCGGTTTGTAGACCAGGCTGGCCTCGAACTCACAGATACCTGCCAACATCTGCCTCCCAAGTGCTGGGATTGAAGGTGTGCGCCACCAGCGCCCGGCGTCTGGTACTATTCTTATTTCTACCCCCTACTTGTCCTGCTCATCTCCTAGGTGAGCTTCTTAGAGTCTCAACAGCTAGGGAATTGGGGGAACAGAGGTTGCAAATGAGACTACCAAGGGTCTAGCAGAGGAGCAAGAGGACCATGGTGCTGGAGAGAGCCCCAACACAGGTTCCACAAGAAGCCCAGAGACCGCGTCTGTGTACAATGGAGGTCCCTAAACTAAGCAATGAGCAAAGGTAGGTCCAAGACAGCAAACCCGAAACTCAGCAATTAGGAGTGGTGGTTCTCAATCGGGGTGAGTTTGTCCCTGCTTCTCTCAGGGACGATCGCAGATGTCTAGAGACATTTTCAGTTCTCAAAATCTGCAGAGGAGGAGGTACCACTGGTAAGTCAAGGCCAGGACATCGATGAACCATCCTCCCGTGAGCAGGACAGTGACCACAACAAAGAGCTGGCAAGGCCGAAGGTCAACAGTGCTGAGGTGGAGAGCTGCCGGTATACACGACACAACTGTGGGCTGGCAGGATGGCCCCACAGGCAAAGGTGCCTGCTGCCGAGCCTGCTGACCCAAGTTTGATCTCGGGGACTTACGCGGTGGGAGGAGAGAGCTGATGCCCACAGGTGCCCCTCTGACCTCCACATGCTTACTGCAGCACGCATGTGCCTACACACATACACTCAAAGTAAATGTAACAGAAAAATGTAAGGCCACGTCTGGGGAGCCAAGACCCACGTTTCCAGGCCCAGGCTGCTCTGGCACCCTGAAGTGCCTGAGTAACATGCTTCCTCACTGCAAAAGCCTGCTCTACACCTATGCACATGGCTGAGCCAAGCGACCTACCAGGTCCCCTCAGCTCCTTGGGATTCTGAGAAGCACCTGTAATAAGCTGGGCGGCAGCACGGGGGCAGCAGGCACCGCGGTGAGCAGTGGAAATAGTAACCCTCAGTGGCTTTCTGAGCACAAGAAACAATCTCTTCCCACCCCCATCAACCCAAACAGAGCTGGGGGCTGAAGGAGGCCTTACGGGCTAAAGCATGTGTTCCTACTGTTGGGACATGCCCTGGCCATGACTCCTGTCACATTCCAGCAGGGCCTGGGGCATCAGGGTGGGGGCAAAGGAGGGCGGGGAAGCAGGAGCAGTCCCTCCTCTCTAAGGTCCCTGGCCTGGGTTTGGGGGAAAGCTCGCGGCGGCGTAGTAGCAAACGCGTGAGCCGCCAGCCTCCGCCCCTTTGACAGGAGGCAGAACGTGTCCCCACAGGGCACAAGCAGCATGCTGTCAGGCTGACTCCCTGCACAGGAATCTGGGAGGGCCAGAAAGGACACCACATTCCTGGGGTAAGGGGAACAAACAAGATAAACCACAGGTCCTCTGTGGCTGTCCTCCAGAAGGCCCTGGAGTAGGGACTCCTATGGCCCGAGGGAGGAGCCTAGAAAAGTCCCAAACCAATGCAGGTGCCCAGGCCCTGACACTCAAAGGTGTCTGTGTGGTGTGCATGCCTGGAAAACAAGGTAGGATCAGAGCCATGGACTAAATGGGGGACAGGCAGTGGAGCTTCTAGAAAATGATGGGAAAGCTCCCAGAGCTAGCCGCTGCCTTCTCCCTTCTCTTCACACAAGCCAGCTTTCTGTGGCCTTCCTGTCCTGTCCCGTCTTTCCCACCCCCACTCCTACCCCAGGGCTGAGGAACCCTTCACTCTGCAAGCTCCCTGTGTGCCTTTTCCTCCAACCTTAGCCTCTCCGTTACTTACCTGCTCCAATTCCTGCCAAGGCTCACACTCTCTTCTAGGCACCAGGGCACTTAGGAGAACAGTGGGCAGACACATTCAGGTACATGGTAATTCTATCTGTGGGTAGAGCTGCCTCACTGAGGCACCACATCCTATAGCTTGCCCTGCCCTGCCCTGACAGTAAGTCCTGGCTGCAGCTATGAGAATGTTTTTATTTTCAGGTTTCTCTGAGGCTAGAGGCAATCTGGTTTGCTGGGTCGGGGGATGATGTGGGTATGACAAGGACAGAGACAGTAAATGCAGACAGGGACTCTAAGGAGGGAGGTGGGGGAAAGGTTACTTCTCTATCAGACCCGGAAAGTAGGGACAATGTACCAGGGAACCTTCTGGGTTCCCCAACCCTACTCCCCAAGGCAGATCTGTGCCACTCCCTGCCCCGTGTCCATAAATACCAGGGCATGTTGGGACACCTGGGCCTTCATTTCAATTCCCAAAATCTACCAAGTGCCCTGGATCCAACCTGTAAGGGACAGCACTGGAGAGCCCATTGTCCTGGACTAGAGAACAGACCAGGGGAGAGTGAAGAACAGCTGGAGGCCCCCAAGCTGGAAGAAGATAAAAGGGGAGTTAGAAACATCAAAGCAGTCTCCCCAGGAAGTCTGAGCTACCAGCTGTAGTCCCCACTGACCACTGACCACTCCTTTACCTGAAGGTTTTCCAGAGTTCAGCCCAAGGAAGACTTCTAACCCTGTGCTGACAAGATGCCCTGGGCCACTATGGGCAAGCCACAGCCAAGGTCAGCCTGTGGGGCCTCAAGGCCTCTAGTTGCCAAGTTGACTCTTTTGGAGGAAGATCTGGCAATGAGCAGGAAGAACTCTACTCCCAACTACCTGGGCCTTAGGAGGCAGGATCAGATGGCTCAGGATGGGGGCTACCAGCTTGTATGCTGAGTCTGTACCAAGAGCTGTGCCCAGGTGGAACCCTGGCTGACCCAGCATGGGCTGTGGCTCTTCAGATGAACCTGCTGACCTGCAGTAGGAGACACCCAAACACCCTGAAGCAGGAGAAGAAGGGGCTCTCCTCACCCTCACCCCCACCCCATCCTAGCTCACCTTCCTGTCTCCCTCCTTTGCCACATAGCATTCATTCTTCACTATTCAAAGTCAGTTCAGAGGACAGACTACCTCATATCTGCTGGGGAGGAGGGTGATAGCTTGCTAATTGCCATGTTGCAATCTGCCAGTCAATGCGGCCGCCTGTTGCCACCTGCCCTGTATTAAATACCTTCTCCCTGATTACAGCCCATGGGGCACGATTAGCTGCCTTCAGAGAACAAAGTCTACTTTCATTAGAAATGGGGCTCGGCATGCACAGAGGGCCTGCACTGCGAACCCAATGAGCAGCTGAGCAGAGTGCGGGTAGATAAGAGCAAGGCACCTGACCGCGAGCAGCTAGCTAGAGTCAGTGACTCAAAGGACCCCGCCAGCCAGGTGCTGGGACTCATGTCTACCCCCTTTTTGGAGGGGTATGGCCGTCTGCCACTGATGCCGTCTCCTGGAGATAGACGGAGAAGAGAAACCTCCCCAGACCCGACTCACTCTAACTACTATCCCTGTTCTTCTTCCAGCAAATGTTCCCGAGGGACGGCAGCAACAGAAAGGAGCCCACGAGCCTGGGGTGCTCTCCTACTTCTTCCTGCCATTCTCCTGAGGTCTGCCTAAGGCCCAGCAAGGTCAAGCATCCAGCTTTCTGCCTACCAAGGACTCAGGGTCAGCATCCCCACTCCATCACTAGTACAGAAGGAGGAACAGGACTGAATTCAAAATGGATGTTGCTCTCTGTCTTGTCTCATGTCAGCCTTCTGCCATTAGAAGCCTCCTCCAGCTCCTCAGCTTGTGTACTATCAGTATGGACAAGTTCACTGACCCTGATCAGCATCCAACCCAACTAGACCATCTCCCTACTATCCACCACGACCTTCTCTAGGAAAGGACGTCATTTACCTGGTCTCAGATTACTGTGAACCTACTGATAAGTCTGCTCATAGCCGCAAATGAACTAAGTCAGTGGAGGACCTTGAGGGTCAACGAACCCGACCTTTTGAATCAGGGTGGGGCCCACACTGCAAGAATCTTTAAAGTCTTTCCTCGTAATGCCTCCAGGAGAAGTTAGTAACTGCTACTGCTTTCTAAATGAAAGGAAAATCCAGCACTACTCAGAAGACAGCTGAGCTATGTGTATAGCCTGAATTCCCTGGGAACCTAGCAGGATATAAATAGGTAATAAAACAAACACCAGCCCTTCTGAAAGCCCCCACCAGCCCAAATCACAGCATCCTGATCACACAGGAAACAAGGTATTGCCTTAACTTTCCTGAGCCACATGCCATGGATCTCGAGTTTCTGACCTCTGCAACCTGGGGAAGTTGCACATCACAGGGGTAGACAACATGCTTGCCATGTAGACCTAGATGGTTCTGAAGCCTCTGAAATCTAGGCTCTGCCTCCATCGAAAGCCTCCTAACATAAACCACTGTGTTGCAAGGGTCGACCCTACAGCAAATGGCCCGGCAATGCAGCCCTGAGAACTACCCATGAAGAGCCCACCTCTGCAACAGAGCCCTCCACTCTGCCTGCTGTAAAGAGAGCAGCCCTCAGTCCAAGGCTGATTTAGCCTTCCCCACTGCACCCCACCCCCTTTCCTTTGCCTCAGCCCCCAGTTTCCGGCATGCAGCTGTTTCTGAGGTACATGAGCAAAGCCCTCAGCAATCCTGGGCGCGTGGCAGGCAGGCAGGCAGCCAGCGGCTCACAGGGTGGGGCCTGGGCAAAGATGCTGCTCTGAGCTGATGACTAGGGTAGGAGATGCCAGTCTGTGCCCAGACCAGCCCTGCCGCCCCTCCAAGAGCGATACATGCCTCTGGGCAAGTGCAACCTCACCCTCTTGGGATAAGCTGCCTCTAGCTTTCACCTGTCCCCTGCACTAAGCTGAAGGCCCAAAAGGGAGAGAATCATTCTAAGCACAGTCATCATGAAGCCTCAGAACCAGCACGGGTGACCTGTGAGAACTCCCCTGGTTCCCCACCTGAACAAACACCTTGTCTATCCACTTGGCCTCTCACCCAGAAAACACTTGACAGGAACAAAGGGTTTGAAAAAGACTCCTGATGCTGATCCAAGCAAACCAAACCCTCCCCAACCAAAGGAGTGCCAGAAATGTCCAAGTCCATGGCCTCACTTGACAGCAGACTCTATGCCCTCTCTTAAGGAAGAGAAAAGCAGCAACTCTGGCCAGGCTTCCTTTTCGCTTTTCTAGTCAGAGCCAAGCCCAAACCGCCTTCAGCTTGCTAACTCCCTACATTCTTAGGGAGCCTGGAAGCATCTATGTCCCTCATATTCACACACACCCTTCCCACACTGTAGTCAGGTCCCCCCTGCCTTCTCCCTCTCAGTCAACAGGAACAGAAACGGCCTGGAGGGCTTGCAAGTCTCAAGGCTCCAGGCCAGCCTCACCTTCAGAGCCTGGAGCCACAGTTTATGTACAGAGCTACTTGTTGGACCACCAGAGAACAAGGCAACTGACCTTCTTGGGACTGTCAGACGTCCCTTCTCTGTTCCAAAGATGGAAGAAAGGGCCTAGGGTAGCAGCTTCTCCATGCCAGGCAAAACTCACCCATCTCCGGGAAAGGCCAGGACCTTTCCTGCGCCTAAGGAATCCAAGGTCCTGCCTCGGCTCGCTGAGGCGCCCTTCCCAGTTCTCGGTTAAAGTCCGCCTGACACTGAGTGGAAACAGTAAGAGACCAAACTCCACCTCCCAGAGCAATGGTGACCAGCGGGAACATCATTACACAGATCCCTGAATCTGGCATTCAGCTTACTCCTCTCTCTGACCAAGAAGTCTCCAGAGCCAGGCCAAGGTAAGCCTCATTCTCCCAACCAAGAAGAGAACCTAGCTGGGCAGTGATGGTGCATGACTTTAATCCCAGCACTCAGGAGGCAGAGGCAGGTGGATCTCAGGCTGGTCTACAGAGGGAGTTCCAGGAAAATCAGGGCTACATAGAGAAACCCTGTCTCGGGGGGGGGGGGGGGGGGAGATAATAACCTAACTTCCTATTCTGAGTGAGAATAATGGTGGGACCATCCACATTCATTCACCCTCTAGATAGAGGGAAGAAAACTATCTGGGGTCTGGAAGGCGTATTCCTATCCTCCTCTTCCTGTCTCTGAGCAAAGAAGTGGGAACAGAGGGAGAGTCTCCAACTCCTTGTCGCTAAAAGCACAGGAATCAATTTGTTTGTGGGGGACTGAGGTGTCGCTATGGAAGAAGGGGAGAGGCAGAGGAGTCCTGTAGCAGGCCATCTCTCTTCTGACCATGAAGGGGGTGGTGGTTTGAATGAGACCGGCCCCTTAGACTCATACACCTGAATGCTTAGACCCCAGTTTGTGAAGGAGTAGGAGGTGTGGCCTTGTCCACTGGGGTGGGCTTTGTGGTTTCATGTGACTCCCAGCATTCCTAATGTCTGTCTCTGTGTGCTGGTCTGTTTCTGTCTCTCTCTCCCTCTCAGCTGCTCTCTCACTCTGTCATCAGACTCAACCCTCTGCAACTCTAAGACAAGTTCAACGCTTTCTTTTCTAAGTTGTCTTGGTGTTTCACACAACAACAGACAAGTAACTAAGACAAAGGAGGTATATCCCGCCCACATCATGGAAAAGAGGAAAGGCAGGGGCCCAGAAGGCGGAGGGAGCAAGGCTGAGGGAAAGAGGCAGGCAGCCTGGAGAGAAAACAGGAGGACGCACACTTCTGGGGGCACCCCAGGGCAGGTTAGCTAGCCAGAGTCAGACTCACAGGGTTAGTGTCTTCTCGCCAGCCAGCCAGCTCTCCTGGTTAGTGGTGTTAGCAACAGACTCATGGCAGACGCCCTCCAGGCACTCCATATAAACAGACAGCTGGGTGTGTGAGCAGCCCAGCTCTGGAGCTGCAAAGAGAGAGCACAGAAGACCAAGCTGCAGGATCCCTCAGGACTACACTGTACTCTCGTCCAGGAAAGCACCTCCAACTTACTGTGGGACTCAGGGGCTTCCCACCACCAGAAAGCACTCCTGGAGAGACCAACACTCCCCCTTGCCAACAGTGAGTCCAGCTTACTGACCCATACAACAAGGCTCTCTGGTTGGCCGAGAAGGCAGCTATTGTGGAAAGCTCCCAGTCTCTCTAGTTCCCAAACACTGCTGCCAGGCTGCACCAGGACTCTGAACACTGGCTTGTAAGAACCAACCCGCCCACAGCTGCAGCTGCCACCCGGCCAGGCCTATGCCCACAGACTCCGAGGGAAAGAACTCGAAGAGACTGTGGGGGTCAAAGGCTGTGACAAGTGCTGCTTCAGAATACACAGTACAATGGAGCAGTGTCCAACCTAGGCCAGAGCTGGGCCACTCAGGGAAAGGTGGCACACTGCCACCTCAGTTTCCACAAGGCCAGACAGAGGGCTTCCCAGGGAGCCCTCAGAGGACCCCAGAAAGTGCAGATGAAAGCCAGCCAGGCTCCCCAGCCTCCAACGGGCTCTTGCACCCTCTCAGAACCCCAGTCCTCCCAATACAGCAAGCCAGGAGAAGCACCACCACCTTCCCAACGCCTCCAGAAACATCCGGGGACGTGCTATAGTCCAGCTTAGAGACCTGGAAGTCAGTGCCAGCCACAACACTGGAATCTGACAAGATGGGTCCCCTGGGGCAGCAGGACCGGAAATTCGCTTCCAACATATCAGGAAAGAGCAGAAAGCTCCTCAGCCCTGCTTGAGAAGCCCTGCAGGCAGAGCAGTGATGAGCAAAATGGGAAGTACCGCTTCCATGCTGCCCCCATGAGGGGCTAGCAGTCAGCCCAGTTGCCCAGGACACTGAAGCAGGAGGGTGACGAGTTCAAGACTAGCCTGGGCAACTGAGACTCTGTCTCAAAATTTTAAAAAAAGGGGGAGGGGGAATGTGTGCTGAGGATATGGCTCAGTAGTAGAGTACTTACTTAGCATGTGTTAGACCCTGGATTTATTCCCCAGTATGGCACCACAAGAAAGTGCCAACAGATTCCTGAATTGCCCACTTACTGAGATCCCCATATTGCTCTGCCTACTGTCCCCAAAAGTTAAAAAAGCCTGCATGTGACTGAAGAAAAGACAGTGTGGTCTCGAGCAGTGGTTCTCACCCTTCCTGACACTGCGACCCTTTAACACAGCTCCTCATGTTGTGGGGACCCCAACCATAAAATGATTTCTGTTGCTACTTCATAACTGTAATTTTGCCAATGTTATGAATTGTAATGTAAATATCTGTCTTGTCCAATGGCCTTAGATGACACCCATGAAAGGGTTGTTTGACCCCCAGAAGAGTCTCGCCTCACAGACTGAGAACGCTGGTCTAGACAACCCCTAACTCCCTAAAGATTAGGAGGAAAGCCTGCCCACTGACGGACAGCCCTCAGAACCCTTACCCACAGGCACTCCAAGACAACAGCTAGCTTAGCTGATTAGCCTTCTAAAGGGAAACCAGCAGGTGTGCTGTGGAAGCACTCAGGAGGAAGAGGTGGTTGGAGCTCTGTGAGTTCAAGGCCAGCTGGGTCTACATAGTGAGTTCCGGGACAGCTACGGCTACACAGAAAAGCTCTGTCTCAAACAAGCAAAGAAAAGAAGAGAACACTGGGAGTGATGGTGGATGACCAAAATCCCAGCACAGAGTCTGGGGAAGGAGGATTGAAAGCTGGAGGCTAGCCTGAACTAACCTTGTCTCAAAAAAGCAAAATAAATAAATAAATAAATAAATAAATAAATAAAATAAAATAAAATAGTAGATCCAATCTAGCCTGGGCTTCAGAGTGAGATTTTGTCTGAAAAGGAAAAAAAAAGTCCTAAGTGAAAAGTTCTTTGCACCCTGATAAGCCTCTCTGCCAACGAAGCAATCCAATCAGACCGAATCAGACCGAATCAGACCAAATCAGACCAAATCAGAAAAAACCCCAGTTTAATGGGTAAAGCGTTCCCGGGTGATTCTCCAGAAAGGAGACTGGACGAGAGACTGAAAAACGACTGTGTCTGTTTTCTGGGAGGCAGTTTAAATATCCTGTGGAAGTGGTCTTGAGCATCTCTGGGGGAGGAGCCGTGTTTGGCGGGACTTTCTGAATGGAAGGGTCTGGGCAGAGAGATGGGGCTTCCACCAGAACATTCCAGAGTCTTTGGGTCTATGGATGCCAGGGTGCCAGCGGCTGAAGTGGAGCTTCCATCGGAACACTAAGAACTGAAAAAGTCATACCAGAGAGCTCTCATCTGCTTTAGCCTGCTCAGGAAGGATGGTCTGGGTCACATGGCAACCAGAGATGCTTAGCACTTTCTCACGGGACTTAATGTTTGCCTTCAGCTAAGGACCTTGCTCCTAAGTAGCCTCAGACTCAGATTTTCCCCTAACAGAGGGAAGATAGGTTAACAGTGACTCAGTGTGGTACATGCTTCGAGATCACTGAGGACAAGAAACTAGCTCAGGCAGAGATTTGTGGCCAGACAACATTGCTCTTCAGAGAACTGGAAGCTCTTCCTGATCTGACTGCAGATTCATGCTGGAGTGCCTTGCATGGCTGAAGAGATCCTGACTTCTAGAAACGAATTCCTGTGGCATGTGTTGAGAACTGGCATCTTAAAGACTGTCCCCTCACGACAGTGGAAAGGAAAATGCAAACAATAGATGATGACTAAATTCAGGGAGAGCATCAGGGGAGCCGTGGCACAAGACCACGGGGGCCTGAAGTCTGCCTTACTCAGTGCCTGCACACATCCCTCCGGGGTCCCAAAGCACTCTGTGCTGACTGGCTTGTCAACTTGACACAAGCTGGAGTCATCAGAGAGGAGGGAGCCTCAATTAAGAAGATGCCTCTATAAGACTGAGGTGCAGGTAAGCCTGTAGGGCATTTTCTTTATTAGTGATTGATGGGGGAGAGCCAAAGTTATGTGGGTGGTTCCACCCCTGGGCTAGTTATCCTGGGTTCTGTAAGAAAGCAGGCTGAGCAAGCCATGGGGAACAAGCCAGTGAGCAGCACCCCTTTGTGGCCCCCACATCAGCTCCTGCCTCCAGGTTCCTGCCCTGTTTGAGTTCCTGTCCTGACTTCCTTTGATGATGAACAATGATGTGGAAGAGTAAGGCAAATAAACCCTTTCCTCCCCAAGTTGCTTTGGTCACGGTGTATCATCACAACATGGTAAACATGGTAAACTAAGACACACTCCCTCTGGTCACTGGCTGTACGTAACCTTCTCTCTAGTGATTACGACCCACTATCCACTGGTCACACACGGGGGAGGTCACCTCCCCAGGACTGGGGAAGCTGGCAGTCACACGGTGGTCCACCAAGGTCTCTGCAGCCCAGGACAGGAGCAGCGCTGCAATCTGACTTTCACAGCTGCTCTGACGGTGCTCCCGTCCTCATGCTGGAGTCCTCACTGTTGCTTCATCGTAAGAAAGGAGACACCTCCATTTTACTCCCTACTCAAAAATGTTCCTGGCTTCTTGACAGAAATCAAGAAGCTTACTCTAGCTTGAATTTAAAAAAAAAAAGGGGGGGGGGGGACTGGAGAGATGACTGACTGCTCTTCCAGAGGTCCTGAGTTCAATTCCCAGCACCCGCATGGTGGCTCACAACCATCTGTAACGAGATCTGGCGCCCTCTTCTGTATACATAATAAAAAAATTAAAAAAAAAAAAAACTCCTTATCCACAGAGTCTCAAAACTGAGATTCAACAAATATTTAAGGACTGTCTTTCACATGCCAAGAACCATGCTATGTGTTATGATCTCACTGTCTCTAAAGTTCAATACTCTGGCAAATCAAAACAAACAAAAAACCACAGCACTCCCATTTCGTAGAGAATGAGACCAAGACTCCTACAGGTAAAGAAACTTGTCAACACTGCACAGCTGGCATAGTCCTATCTGAAAACAAGCCCATCTAGCTCCAAAAGCACAGCCACTCACACAGCTCCCAGCACTCACTGCACCAAATCCTTCCAACTGGGCGGAGATGTCCCCACACATGGTCAACAGAGTGCACTCACAACATACTGAGCACTGGAAAAGAGGTTCTAACAAAGACCCAGAGGCTTACAGTTTGGAAAGGAGAGAAGGAAGGCATGCACCAGGCATGGCAGCGGAGACCTGACCTACAATCCAGGCGTTTCGAAGAGAAGGCAGACGACAAGTGTGAAGTCACTCTGGGCTACACAGCAGTGGTGGTGGTGGTGGTTGTTTTTTAAAGGGGTGGGGAGAAAGCTTCTCATAGACGTGCCAAAGAAGTTAGGTCCTGGTGTGGAGACATTATGGACTGAGTGCAGTGGCCAGGTCAGAGGGGCTAGGTGAGGGACGACTAGAGCGGGGAGGGAGCAGTGAGGAACAGGACAGAGGGAGTGGCATGGCAGTGACGCACTCTAAAGGGCTGTACTGGTCTGTTTGTGCCAACTTTACACAAACTAGTCATCTGCAAAGAGGGACCCGCAATTAAGGAAAGCTGGGACCACTTTCTTGATTAATAAATGATACAGAAGGGCCCAGCCCACTGTGGACAGCAGACTGACCAAGCTATGGGTCAAACCACAGTATGAATGGGCCCCTCCATGATCTCTGCTTTGGTTCTTGCTCTAGCTTCCTCAATGATAGATTGTAACATGAAGTGTAAGTGAAAAAACCCTTTCCTTCCCAAGTCACTTTTCAGTGTGGGTTATTTTTGTTTGTCTGTTGTTTTTCTGAGGCAGGGTTTATCTGTTTAACAGCTCTAGCTGTTCCGGAACTCACTCTGTAGACCAGGTTGGCCTTGAACTCCACCTGCCTCTGCCCCTCTACCACCCAGTGCTGAGACTAAAGGTGCTCACCACCACCACTCAGCATCTTTTTTTAATGTGCACTGGTGTTTTGCCTGTGTGCGTGCCTGTCAGGTCCCCTGGAACTGGAGTTACAGACAGTTGTGAGCTGTCATGTGGGTGAAGGAATTGAGCCTAGGTCCTCTGGAAGAGCAGTGTTTATCACAGCAACAGAAAACAAACCAGGACAAGGGCCAGAGAGCGAACCAGAGCGCGAAGTGCTTTTTTGCACGCCAAGCTAGAAAGGATAAACCTGAAATGAAATAAGGGAGAACCGCAGCATTTCCAAAGGCACAGGCCGGGTTTGGTTTTTTTGGAGACAGGGTTCTGGAACTCAAATGTGCCTTGGTACCTGAGTGCTTGGGTACAGGTTTGCCCTCATGCTTGCTAGGGCAGAGGCTAGCCGGATGCAGGGAGAGAATGCCTGTCACACCTCGTTCATTCTAATGCGCCTCAGCATTTTAAACACTCACACTACCCCAAGTGCTGGGAATATGAAAGTAAATGCGACAAGTCCTTGATCTCAGGACACTTAAAGCCTGTGAGAGTCAGACAAAACAAAATAGGCAAATACAGTATCAGACTCAAGCCCAGAAGATAAAGAGAGACAGAGTCCGAAAGAAAGGGGCATTTAAGACAAGATCTGAAGGGAGCAAGGAGAGGTGTCCAGGAATATAAGCCTAGGAGCTCGAAAAAACTGAGCTAAGTCCAGACGGCCGCTGAGAAACTGTCTCCCGGGTGTTGTGGCACATGCCTCGATGCCAACACACCGGGGGCACAACTGGCAGATGTCTCTGAGCTCCAGGCAAGACAATGCTGCATAGGGAGACCTTGCCTCAAAAATAAAGAAATAAAATAAAATAAAAAAGCATGATGCCCTCTTCTGATCTCTGTGGGTATCTACATTTATGTGCATATAACCACACATACACACAATTGAAAAAAAAAAAAAACTCTTTAATCAGGAGGTGGTGGCACATAACTTTAATCTTAGCACTCAGGAGGCAGAGGCAGGCAGATCTCCGAGTTCAAGGCTAGCCTGGTCTACAGAGCAAGTGCCAGGACTACACAGAGAAACCCTGTCTCGAAAAACAAAACAAAATAAAAATCTTTAGAAAAAATAAAAGCACACAGACTCAGCTTATCAGGGGGTTCTTCAAATCTGGTGAGAAGGCAATAAAGGGATGAGATTTCAACGTCATGCTCAAATATGGGCATTTCAGGAGAAAACTAATTTAAACAATGGTAAGACAGGAGGACTGGTTCAAAACCCCCCTACCTTCACCGGCAGCCTGGTTACTTGCTAAGATGGAACCGAAGGCAGCAAGTCCGCAGATTTCGACAACAACACAAAGGTGCACTCCGTTAAGAGAACGAGTTGCAGCATGTTTCACTCCTGCACAAATCAAATCAAGGCGAAGTATGCTACCCTGGGACCGGTGGCTTCTAGACAAGGGGGAGAGCACAAGAAGGCCAGGTACCACAGCAGACAGGAAAGGTCACGATGGGGCCAGGCCAGATGTCTCAGGGGGAGTCCACAGACCTGGGCCTCCAAGTCCCCTCAAATCCGGTTATACACCAGGCACGTGCCCACTGGCAGGCTGGAGAGTCACTGAAGAAAAAGATGGCCCTAAGGGTGTGTTAAATAGACAGGACATGACTCAGACAAGAGCCAGGTAGTCAAACCTGAAGCTGGCCTCCGCCCTCAGGCTGCGGGCTGCCCCTGCCTGGGAACGGAGACTCACTTACACCCTGCACCAGGCAGCACAGCTTCAGGATAGGAACATCTGTTTTCCACTTTCACCAAATGTGAGAGGAAGAAGCTATTTAAAATGCCACCTATCTTTTCCTCTGCGTAGGCTGCTACTTTGAAAAGAATGAGAACATA